TGATATTTTTTAGTAATAAGTATTGCTGAAACAATATATCATTTAAAGTAATTAAACAAATCTGTCAACTTTCACAAATAACATTCTACAAAAATGTTTAACTTCTCAAGCAAATTCTTTTTTTTGAATATTTGCTTCATTCTCGACTTGTTGCTAAATGGTATAACTTGTAAACAAAAGATTTTGAATGAAGTTATTTTCATATTAAAATTATCACTATTAATCATTAATAAATTTATAAGATTTTATATTTATGAATTAATATTTTTTTAGGGGGATTTATTGTCTAAATTTGTTAATAGTTTTAGCATATATACAGAAACCTTATTGATGATAAAGTTCAAATACCTTTTATATATAGTTAAATAGAATAATCTAATTTCAAGTTTTAAATTACTAAAACTTATTATCTAATTTAGCAAAAAAGGTAACAAAATCTAACAGTTACTTTTATAATCTTGGGTTAGGATTTACAAATCCTTTCTAATTCTATAGGAAGCTCTTGTTTTTCTTTACATATCAAAGAACTTTTATCAAAGTTTTAATTGTGCTCTAATAACTAGTAAAATATTGATTAGATATAAAACGATTAAAAAATAGGTTTTAATAAAAATTAAAATTATTAATATTATCTAAGTTAATATTTGTATTTATATTAGACATTGGTAAGTCTTTTAAGGTATACTTCTTATTGCACAGGCCTGGCTCAACGATATTTTTTAACAAAAATTGATTACCAACTTTTAAATACTAAATGTTCCCTCCCTTTGCGCTTTTCATAAATCCCATGAGATTTGATATTGCTTTTATCACAATTATGTACTACACAAGGTCCGCAATTAGGTGACAATGCATTTTTTTTTTCGTTATGAAAATTAAATTTTAGTTATGATCGGCGATAAATTTAATTCTCATATAACTTTATAAGATTTATTAACGAATTACTTTTTATAAAGAATATTTTATTTCACAAAAAACAAAGTAGAATTGCAACAATTATACAAATAAAATAAAAAATTATACATATTATTTACTTATAGACAACGCAAAGTAATTTAAAAATTATTTCATTGAGGAAGAAAAATAATATGTTAATTTATCGGACACCCAATAAATATATCGACATAATTTAAATTTGACATTTAACCGTTTGTACAATAACAATAACAAGCGGGCAAATTACAAACAAAATATCTATAGCCGTAGTAGTAACATAAATTCTCACATTCTGACCGAGGGGATCCACCACAATAATAGCATTCCGAAGGAGAATAACCAATTCCGTCGGTAGATTTTTTAAACTTTTGAATAGAAGGGTGTGAAAGAGAAAATTCAATTTCGTCGGTAGATTCTCTGACCTTTTCAAGCTTTTGAATAGAGGGTTGTGAAGGAGAATAATCGATTTCGTCGGTAGATCCTTTGATAGTTACAAATTTTTGACTAGAGGGTTTTGAAAAATAAACAACATTTTTGGTAGATTCTTTGATAGTAGCGCCAGAACAGTGTTCAAGGTAATTCTGGGCAGGGGTAGAATGAGCAAACCAAGCCAAAGTTAATGTAAGAAACAAGGTAACGAGAATGAACTGTTTTGACATTACGATAGAGAGAAGTTGAAGGTAAACTTTTGTTAAATTCGCCAAAGGAGAACCACATTATTTATAAAGAATTCCAGAGGACATGATTTTCTCATTTAATTGGGAGAAACTCCCAGGCGTAAAATGATACATTTCTCAAGTTTCTCCTACAAGAAATATCCGGATCTTTACCCCTAAAACAAATAAACTCGGATATATCATATAAGATAATATTCAATTTATCCTGATTGAACAAACTTTATTAAATGGGTTTGTAATTTTGAATATGCTAGATAAAAATGGAAAGGATGGGACAATATTTGTTTTTTTTGCGACGCGTCCTAACGCCCAACTATTATTATACGCCTTTTGTTTATTTTAGAATTGTATACAGTATAAAGATATTTCAACGTAACGATCATTAAGATCACATCCCGTTGCCTTAAAATTTATAACAATAAATCGACTTAACTTTTGTCTCAAAACTCAATATTGTACCGAGTAATAGTATTGTTTGAGTCATGTGACTCTCTCTTTTAAAACGTCGTCGTTAATTGATTCCCGCTTCACAATTACTTTGACACAGTCGTGTACTCCTACTCCGAACGGTGTAGTATTTCAAGTGCTTGTATCTATCCAGAACTCGACGCTCACTCGCGTCTATTATAAAAAATATCAAAATCATTATTATTGAGAGTGCAAGACGTAAATTAGAACCATTTTTGAGCCCACTTGGACTTCTGTAACTCTATCATTCTCAAGATCCGTTTGCTACAGATTCCTTCATTTAAAATGGCTTTGAGAATAATTACCTATAATAATCATATAGAAAGTAACCAAATAATTATTCATTTAAACAAATACCTCATATTCTTTAGAAGCATTTGTAAAGGTCTTCGTATACCTTACTTAATTTACTATTGTTTAACAAAATATTTCTTATTTTCCTAAACCTTTATTCCAATATTCTAGCTTGAAAACCCTGACCTAGTTTTAAATTCAATATAAACGTTATTAATAAAATTGTAAAATAAAATGAAAAGTAATATTAGTTTAACAATTTCGTTATAAATTATATTTTCTTTCATATTAGAAAATGTTAGTAAAAAAAAACAATTCTGCGTTACAAAAGAGATAAATGTTTCGCGTTAAGAAGAGAGAAATTTTCGCGTTATAAAAATTTGTCATTACTGCAAAAAAAGAAAAAAAAAAAAGTCCCATTTTTTCCATTTTGATTAAGCTTTAAGCCACATCGCTAAATGTAGCTTGGACGATCAGAATTTTATAAGCAAGTATCATTTTTTTAAAAAATAAACATTACAAAATTTCGCGCCTGATGATAATGTTTCGCGTTACAAAAGGTCGTCCGTGTTCGCAAAACAAAATTTTGTTCCATCCTATCCATCTTTATCTTGGTATAAATAAAGTTGTTCATATTGGGTTGTCAATGGTCCCATTTGCATAAATGATTTTTCACAGATGTAATGATAAGATTATCGAAGTCTTCTGGTTAAGAAAGCTTGAGAAACTGTAACTTTACGCCTAATTAATTACAAATTTTAATAAACAAAATAATTGTACTTGGGAATTCTTATAAAATAATGTTGCGGTCCTTTTTCCATATTTAATAAAGTTTGTCCAAATTCAGGTATAAATGGTCCAATTTGCATATCATCAAGATATTGTTAGGAAGAGCTTGAGAAACGTATCATTTTACGCCAAAGAATTCTCTTAATCTAATGAGAAAATCATGGTTCTTATAAATAAGATGGTTCTGCCTATGCGAATTGAACAAAGCTTACTTTCAACTTAGCTTTATTTTCAACTTATTTCACTTTATCGAAATGTCAAAAGAGTTCATTCTCGTTACCTTGCTCCTTACCTTATCTTTGGCTTGGTTTGCTCATTCTACCCCTGCCCAGAATTACCTTGAACATTGTTCTGGCGCTACTATCAAAGAATCTACCAAAAATGTTGTTTATTTTTCAAAACCCTCTAGTCAAAAGTTTGTAACTATCAAAGGATCTACCGACGAAATCGATTATTATTCTCCTTCACAACCCTCTATTCAAAAGCTTGAAAATATCGGAGAATCTACCGACGAAATTGATTTTTCTCCTTCACACCCTTCTATTCAAAAGCTTGAAAAATCTACTGACGGAATTGGTTATTCTCCTTCAGATTGCTATTATTGTGGTGGATACACTCCGTCGCAATGTTCGAGTTTATGTTACTACAAAGGCTATAGATATTATGCTTGTCTTACGTGCTATTGTTATTGTACAAACGGTTAAATGTCAAATTTAAATTATGTCGATATATTTATTGGGTGTCCGATAAATTAACATATATTATTTTTCTTCCTCAATGAAATTATTTATAAATAACTTTGCGTTGTTATAAGGGGATTTATGTATTATTTTTTATTTTTATTTGTATATTGTTGCAATGCTACTTTTGCTTTAGTGAAATAAAATATTCTTTGCAATTTTTATTTTTTAAAAAATAATTCGTTGATAAAATCTTAGTCATATAAAGACCCACGTAATAAATCACCCAATTGCCCATATGGAAATTCTCCAGCCAATTGGAAGAATGATTCCGTAAATGCAAAATAGCAAAGGTATGATCTTCACGCTGTATAACAATAAAAAGTGATTTGTTTTGCAATAATAATCATACTTTGGGCTTCGTAATCTGGTCTTTAATCCTTTTTGCCAAGAAATGAACGTTTAAGCAAACATGAAACTTTTTATAATATATTCTTTAGATTTATTTACCGTGCAGAATGTTTTTATTAATTAATTAAAAAATTATACTATACTATTTTTTTAAAATATTTATATGAAATCATTTTTATAAATATATATTACAGAAACGGAATTTTAAACATAAGGAAATTTATATGTAAATTTTGATTTAATCTTTTTTATTAGTCCGGAGCGTTAGCGTAGGACTATATAACAGTCACTGGTCATTTCCGAATCAGGATTTACTAATTAAATATGCAGCTTGTCGATCACTTTTTTTACTATGATCAATTAGTAAAAACTGAAATTTCTGGTTTTTTCGTCAAATGCTAACCTTAATTTTTATCCAATAAAATTAGTGTGCATGCGTAATAAAATAAATTATGCTAAATTATGCGTTTATAATTTGGGCCAAAATTTTAAATTAATTTATAATTTAAAAAGTATTTATTTAATATACCGAAATTGTAAAAAACCAATCTAATTATATTATATTAATTTTTACTATTAAACGAATAAAATTTAACATAATAATAATGGCAAAAAAATTTGGCTCTATCTACATAGACGTTATCTTTGTATTCAGGTTCTTTTGCACGTTGGGTTGCACTTTTCGTCATGATTGAAATTTCCTAAGTTATGCGAAAACATAATGCATGTGTTAAATTCAATATTATGCGTATATTATGTCGCAGTATAATCCTGGACACTCTAAATAAAATATGCATAAAAAATTTTTTTTTACTCCCCGAGTTCTAACGAACTCGTTGATATAATTTTTTATAATTGTTTATTAATAACAAGTCAAAAGGATCTCCTCATAAAATTGGACATTTTTTCGTTAAATTTAACTTATATACTCTCAAAATGGAGAACTTTATAAGCAATATAAACAAATCTGACCTTACAGTAATAATACTAATGACTTTAGTTTTATGGAAGAAGAATATATTTCTGACTTTGATAGTATAGATAATAATCAGTATGTTAGTTTAAATAATATTAATGAGGGTTGGGACAATATAATAACTGAGAAGGACATATTTGAAGATAGTAATATTGATTTAAATAATAAAGAATATACAGATAATCCTAATTTTTTTCAATTATATATGAATGCTTTTTAATCAGTCTGTTATTTTTCAACTATTACTGATAATATAGATGATAATATATTAGAATTAGATAGTAAATTTTGATGATGAATCTGTAATTCCTATGAAAACTAATATTACCAATGAAATAAAATTACTGAATCAATAAAGTCAACTAAATTTATTACTTGTATTTTAATAGATAATTTTAATGGTAAAATTTATTCTTTTGAAAGTTCACAAAATTTACATTGTATAAAAATATTTTTGGAACTTGAGAAATTGATAGTGAAATGATTTATAAGATAAATGATGATTTAGCATCTTTAGGAGTTTGTTATTTACATCAAATGTATGATCAAACTAAGTTACATGTGAAAAATGCAAAAGGAACTAAAAATTCTTCTTTGAGTTTTATTAGCAATAGAAGATATCTTTTTTGTAATATTAATAAAACATTTTATATCTGTAGTGAGCAAAGTGATTAACACTTTTAGATATTAATTGATTGTGATTTACAAGTTTCATATAATTGTCAATATTATTGTATTTCTTAATAGAAATTCAACCAATTTTATATCCTAGTTTATCTAATAAAAAATCACATTATGTATGTATTTCTTATTATAAAAAACATGGTAAACATTTTTATTAAAGATCTAAGGTAAAAGGAAAAGCCAGTTCATATCTTTCCTTCTTTACTTTCTAATTTTTTTGAAGGGTTAATTAATACATTATAATTATCAAATTTAAAGAAGTTAATAGAAAAAAATAATTTTATAATAAACTTACAACTGTTTTTAATTTAAATAGTATTATTAAAACTAGAATTTTTCTTATGTCTATAATTTTTCATGTTGCTTTTTTAGGATTTCATCTTTGACTTTTAACTATGCTTATTTTACTTATTAGAAAACTAAAATTTACTACTCAACTTGACTAACTACTTACAATAATTTATATACTTAAAGATATAAACAAAAATTATAAAATATTAGAATAATAGCAATAAATCCATATGAAAGACTTTGGATAGATGATAATATTTGAAATATTAGAATAGTCAATAACATAGATTTTAAAGAAAATCTTTTACTTATTCAAATATATTTAATCAAATAAGAAATATAACACATATAATATTACGTATGATATTTTAATATAAAATATTTACTTCACTTTTAATTCTTTTAAATAATATTCTTCCTATATCTGATACTTTAACTTTAAAATATTGGGTAAAAATTTTAAAGTTCAACAATTTATCTTTGATTTTCATCAAGTTTTTAAAGATTTTTTACAATTTTCAAATTTTAAAAATACTTTTAAATACTCTTAAGATTTTGATTTATCTAATATATTAATAAATTATTAATAGTATTAAATTAAGATGTTAGTTACCATTAGCTAATATTATTATTTTAGAAGCTAAAAATAAACTAAGTTTAAATAAAGGAATATTTGAAGTATATGATATATTTTTATAAGATTTTAATTTAAATAATAATAAATATATAGATATAGTTTCTGATGAAGTAATATTTTGAAGAATAAAACTTTATCTTAAAAATTATATGCATACTAGAATAATTTTGGTCTATAATATAAGTAAAGATATATGTAGTGTTCTTATTACAATTTTTTTAGGGTTTAGTATTTTTAATTAGCAGCAGCTTTAGAAACTAAATTTTTAAATAAATTAGAAGCAATAGTTGATTATCGATCTACTTATTGAGTACTAGAAATAATTTAATTTGTAGTAGGAGTTGCACTTTATATTCATTTAAAAAATATAATAAAACAATTGAACAAATAATAAATGAAGACAATAATTATTAAAAACTTAGTATCTTTATTTTAAGTGAGCAGGATAGTGAAAAACATATTAAATTGAAATTTAAATGAAAAACTTTAAAATACAATATGAATCACTTTCTATATTTGTACCACTTTTCTTTGTAGTTGGTAAATTTAATTATGCTTTATCAGTTACTTTTATTTGATTCATTTGAAATATTCTGAATTAAAGAAATTATTAAAATATACTTATTCAATTAATATTAGTTAAGAAAAGTACTTTTTCATATTTGACAAAACTTTAGAGACCTTTAGAGTCAAATATATTAAACTAAATATATCTAAAAATTCTATTAATACAGAATAACTTAAAAATCTGATCAAAGCTGTTCAAGTGAAAGGAATCGAATCAATCTACAGTCAACTCTTGATATAGCGAACTCTTGATATAACGAATTTTTTGAACAAATATAATAAAATACTCTTGTTATAGCGAATTGATCAATCAAATCTCTTAAAATCTTTACTATAACCTTATAGCGAAGTTAAGGTCTAGGATATAGAGTTCGTTATAATAAAAGTTGACTGTATTTTTATTTGAATTTTTAGATAAAATTATTACATATTAAAATGATTGAGCAATAAAATCTTATAAAAAATTATTTGGGATATAGTAAATTAACTTATTATAACATTTAACAATCTAATAAATAATTTTATTTTTAAAGATATTTCATTATATAATATGATTGTAGAATGTATTTTTGAAGGATGGACCAGATTATTTAATTATTATTTAAAAAGAGAAAATCATCTTTATACTATATTAAAGCAAGATATTTTAAAAAGTGAAAAATAAATTGCAACAAGTAGAAAAGTAAAAAATATTAGATATCATACAATAGCAAATATGAAAAATCTAATAAATTAGATAATACTCTTATAAGAGTGTTATTCAATTACGTTATAATATTATCTAGTTATGATATACAGGGAGGTGACATAAATATTGCATATTTTTTTCACGAGACTTTAATCAGTTAATTTTAGAATATAAATAATAAAATAAGACCATTTATGGTAATTAGTAATGCTTATTTAA